ATCTTAAAAGCAGCAAGAAAAAAGTATCTAGTTACCTATAACAGAGCTCCCATAAGACTGTCAGCTGATTTCTCAACAGAACCTTTGCAGGCCAGAAGGGACTGTCACGAAATATTCAAAGTGATGAAAAGCAAGAACCTACTACCAAGGTTATTCTATTCAGCAAGGCTATCATTAAGCATCAAAGGACAGATAAAGAGCTTCCCAGACAAGAAAAAGGTAAAGGACTTCATCACCATCAAATCAGTATTATAAGAAATGTTAGAGGGACTTCTTTAAGAAAACGAAATTAAAAAAAAAAAAATGAAAAAATATGAACAATAAAATAGCAATAACTACACTTCTATCAATAATTACTTTAAAAGTAAATGGATTAAATGCTTTGATCAAAAGACATAGGGTAGCTGAATGGCTAAGAAAAGAAGACCCTGACATATACTGCCAATAAGAGACTCGCTTCGGATCAAAAGATACACAGAGACTGAAAGTAAAGAGATGGAAAAAGGCATTTCATGAAAGTAGAAACAAATGAAGTTGGGGCAGCAATACTTATACCAGACAAAATAGACTTTAAAACAGAGGCTATAACAAGAGACAAAGAAGGACCCAGCAATCCCACTTCAGGGTATTTATCTGAAGAAACTCAAAATACTATTTTGAAAAAACATGTGCATCCATATATTCATTGTAGTATTATTTACAATAGCCATAACATGAAGGCAACCTAGGTGTCCATCAATGGATGAATGATTAAAGAAGAGGAATGATTAATATTCATATATGTGTGTGTGTGTGTGTGTGTGTGTGTGTGTGTGTGTATTGGAATATTACTCTACCATAAAAAAGAATTAAATCTTGCCACTTGCAACAACATGAAAGGACCTAGAGGGTGTTGAGCTGAGTGGAATAGGTCAGATAGAGAAAGACAAATGCCATGATTTCACTTACATGTGGAACCTAAAGAACAAAACCAACAAACAGAAACAAACTCATAGATACAGAGAACATTTTGGTGGTCGCCAGATGGGAAGAGGGGTTGGGAAGTGGGTGAAAAAGGAGAAGGGATTAAGAAGCATAAATTGGTAACTACAAAATAGTCATGGGGATGTAAAGTATAGCATAGGAATAGAGTCGATAATATTGCAATAACTATGTATGGTGTCAGATTATAACTATGTATATAACTATGTATTATAACTATGTATACAATAACTATGTATGGGTACTAGATTTAACAGGGTGATCCTTTTGTTATATAATATTATGTCATACACTGAAACTAATGTAATATTGTATGCCAACTGTAATTTTCAAATGAAAATTATAAAAAGAAAAATAAAGAAAAGATGGGAGATAGGAAGGAGCATTCTGACAAAAGGTAACAGCAGATGCACAGGTCCTGTGGTAGGATGGCTGGAGGTGCTTGGCATGTTTATTAGTCAGAGTTCTCCAGAGGAATAGAAAAATATGAGGCATACATGGGGAAAAAGAGATTTATTTCGAGAAATTGGCCCCATGAAGGTGGAGGCTGACGAGTCCAAAATCTGCAAGGTAGTGTGGCCAGCTGGAGACCCAGGAAGAACTGCAGTTTGAATCCAAAGGCAGTCTGCTGGCAGAAGTCCTCCTTCCTTGGAGGAAATAGTCTTCGTTCTATTAGAGCCCTCAACTGATTGGACGAGGCTCACCCACATTATGAGGAATAATTCATTTTACTCAAAGTCTACCGATTCATGTTAATCTCATCTAAACATACTTTTATAGCAACATCTGAATGGTGTTTGACCAAACATCTAGGCATCTAGCTTAGCCAAGCACGCACATAAAATTAACTATCACAAGGTCACCCCTTGTCAACTTGGCACACACACATCTCCTTAAACCATACATTTGCAGTACAAAATATGGGGCCCTGCTTCCCGCACAGGTTCCACAGGAACCAGCAGGACAGGAACACGCATGGTGAGATCAGGATGAAGCCCTCCCTCTACATGGAAAGAGCAGACCTCAGGTGTGTGTATGTGTGGGGGGTGGAGATCAGGATCTCTGGTGCTCTCAGTGCTCTGGGTAGGGATGTGGCAGGCAGAGAGTGCAGGAGTTTACCCACAACTCCTGGGATGAGGTGAGATTTCTAACGATAGAGTCTTGGTAGTGAGCTCCCCATCCCTAAGTGTGTGCAAATCTGAGGGGCACATATCCAGAGGTTTGTAGAGGAAATGTATGCCCTAGGGACAGTTAGGAGCTGGGGAAAACAGTCTGGTCTAAATAAGAGTCCACCCAGCAGCCCAAGGGTGGTGGGGGTTTCTGCATCCTCCTCATTTCCTGTAGCATCAGAGACAGCCTATCCCACATCCCTTCTCTGTGTGTGTGTGGCTGGCAGTGCCCTGACACCTCGGTACGGGGTGGGCCTCACTTGAGGTCTGGGACGACTGGTTTGCTACAGTCATTGTAGTTCCAAATTCCATGTGACCCTCTGTGCCTTGAGCTTGGGTGTGCTGCCCATGACGAGAAGAATTAGAAGTTTCTTCTTTACTACCCTGTAACCTCCTGGGGGTTCTTGCTGATTGTACAAACTGAGATTGCCTGCCTTGTGGAGAGGCGAGATGGGGGTGTCCAACCCTGGATGTTTTGTGATCTGGAGATCTGGGCCTGACTGTGGGGCCATCCTCTCACTTGAGGACCATCTGCTGGCCAGGAATGGGATTGAACACAGTGGGACAGGGTGTGTGGGGATAGCTAGGGCCCTCACCCATCCCCATTGTCTGATGGTAGATGCAGAGGATGGCTGAGATGGCCTCAATACTTCACAAATAAATGAATTTCTATTCCAGAAATTTCTGCATAAAAACAGTGCTGGCGAATGAGTCAGACACACAGAAAAATTCAAGGAGAAACAGAAACAGAGCCTATGAGAGAGGATCAAAAAAATATTGACTGGTGAATGAATGATGAATAATTCCTTGGACTGGGGAGGAGAGGATCTAAACAGAGATAAGCTCTGGCAGCTTGTGTTTATTTTGTTGATAAACTGGGAGAATGTGTCCAGGCTGAAGGATGGAGTTCCTGATATTTGTTGGACTGGAGAACCTAAAGGTCCTAAGTCCTGCCTCCAGCCAGGGCCTGGGCTGAGGACAGGGCCAAGGGAAGAGGAGAAAATCAGGGTGCCTTGTGGGGAGAATGTCCAGCCTCCCTGTCCCCGCCCCACCTTCTGCCCCCCAGGCCTCTGCAGGGACAGGTGGGGCAGGATAAACCTCATATGGCATCCTCATGGCAGGTCCCAGAGGAAGCCCCTGGGGCGATGTCACAGGAATGTTAGATAGGACAAGGTCTGGGTGGTTCTTACTGAATACTCTTCTTGCTAAATGTTAAAAAGTAGCACTGTATTTCGCAGAGGCAGCTATAACCCCAGGAGATTGACAGGAACACAACAGGTTAAGTTCAGCCAACTGTAAAGGAGAAATCAACATGTAATTAACCAAATAGTGTATATAAGCAATGGCTAAGCCTCTCTTCTTGGAGACAGAGCTTTGGTCTTGAATCTCCTGTCTCCTCTACTTCCTGCAAATAAAAACCACCTAACAACCACTTCTCTTTCTTGAATGAAACACCCCAAGCAGTGACCCCATTGAGTCTGGTAACAGGAACAGGCTGAGCGAGATCTGGGGAGACGGAGTGAGCTCACAATGAGCTAGGGGAATGAATGGAGGTGGGGATGGACAGCCCAGGACAGGTGGCCCCTGGGGACCTGTATGGGAATGGAGGGAGGAAGCTAGTGTGCAGATGGAGCTGCCACCGGGGTTATCTGCACCAGGTCATGGTGGGCTGGGAGCCCTCTGGAACGTCACTGCCCATTAGTGTCTCAACTAATGGGATAGCCCGGGCACTAGTCCTGGGGGTGGATACTGGGGAGTCCGAAAACCCCAGGATGAGCTGTCCTGGAGGTTCATCATGGGAAGACCCTAGGAGAGGGTCTTTGAGGGTAAGAAACAGGGGATGGCCCTGGGCATAAGAGGAATCATCACGAGATGGCCCTACTGTAGGCTGGAATTTGGGGGAGGGGCTGAGAAATGGGGTCCGGAGGTGCACTGTGGGACAGGCCATGCAGGAATATTTCAGGGGCAGATGCACTGAGAGCGGAAGGGGCCATCCCAGGGCCAGGGAGTCTCAGAACATGGTGTTCTTTTGGGATATATATATAAGGGATGGGTTCTGGGAGACCTGGATGGAAGGAAGGAATCTGGAGAAACAAATCACCGCAGGAGGGCAGAGTTTTGGGGGAGGGTGGAACTTGGGGACAGTCTGTGGATACTGGAGTACCCTTCAGTGGGCCATTGTAGGGGAGACCCTTGTGGAGCAGAACATGGATCTTTGTAGTGGATGTGGGGTTTCCGCACTTGTGAGATTCTGGGAGTTCTCAGAATATCAGGCTGTTGGATAACTTTGGATAATCAGACAGGGAAACCTACAAGGAGGTGGCTTGGGCATGTTCAGAATCAGGGATGTCTTGACAAGTGGATTTGGGGAGGTATGTTTGCCAGCATTAGGAATAGGGGACAAATTATAAGGGTGGACCTAAGGGGCTGGAACATTCATGGAAAGATTATGGGAGGGGGTCGCAGCACCCATGCAGGTTCCTTAGAGAGGAACAGGTTACGGGAGCAGGGTGGAGGTCCTTGAGGCACATATCGAAGGAGTCAACTGAGGGGCTTAGAGCCCAGGAGAATCTTAGGGTGGGGCTATAGCAAAAGTTACAGATCACGGAGGTGAGATTGGGGGGTCTAAAATGTGGCAATGTCTTGGGGTGGGCTTGGGTAAGGCCCTAAGCTGCGTATGCCTTGGGGGGCACTGATCATGGGAGATGGGTTTGACAGGGTTACTGGGTCTATGTCCAGGTGTGTCCAGGAGTGGACTGGAATGGCCCTGGCGGAAGGCAGGACAGAGCTGGCTGGGTAGCAGAAGTTTACTGTCCCCACCCCATCCCACATCTGTCCCCCTGAACCGCATCAATAGCATCTGCGGTACACGATGTGTGGCCCCTGCTCCTCGTACTGCTCCCGCAGGACCCAGCAGGACTGAAAGGCACGCAGCGAAGCCAGGATGGAGCCCCCGATCCACACAGAGAAGTTACGGGTGGGCTGGGCCGCCACCACCACGTGCTCCTCAGGGGGCAGACTCCGCAGCAGCTCTGCCCGGAAGCGGCCCTCGAACCCCACAAAAAGTGAGGAGCCCCCGCAGAGCAGCACATTCTGGGCCACATCTGCCCGCACCTCCGAGGGCACCTTGTGAAGACTCTGTTTGGCCATGATGGGTACACCCACGGGCGACAGCCCTGGCATCTCCGGAGGGCTGAACAGCAGTTCTGGGCACTGGAACAGCTCCTTACCCAGCGTGACCGTCCGGCCGTCGGGCAGCTTCAGGCTCTGCCGGTACTCCTGCTCCGGCCGGGCCTGCTCCTTCTGGAAGTCGGGGGCCACGTAGCAATAGCGGTGCTTGATGTTCTCCACGGTGTCCAGGTCCTGCTGCCCCAGCGGCAAGCCGGAGCCCAGCAGCATCTCCGCTAGGAAGGCGGTCAGGTGAGTGCCCGCCAGGTCCAGGCGCTCAGTGGCATGGGGCAGATGGTAGCCCTGGAAGACGGGCACTGTGGAGGTGACCCCGTGGCCCGTGTCCACCACCAGCCCGCTGACCCGCCCGTGCGCATAGACAGACAGCACCGACTGGGAAGCCACGTACATGGCAGGGGAGCGCAGTGACTCGAAAGCCACCTCTACCAGCTTCTCTCGGTTGGTGGCGGGGCTGAAGGGCGGGTCGGAGAACAGCAGCGGGTGGTCCCCGGTGGCTATGCGGAGGTCGTGCTCCAGCATGTGGCGCCAGATCAGCTCGGCTGCATCCCAGTCCACCGTAATGCCATTCCGCACCGGCTGCACCAATGTCAGCTCTGGGCGCATGCGGGCGGCCTCGCCGATGAACGTCTCCAGCACCGGCTGCCCACTGGTGGCCGGCTTCTTGGGCTGGCAGCCCACTATGGTGGCCACGGTGTAGGTGGGCCGGGCCTGCCCTGCGAAGCCCACCTTACAGGTACCTGTGCCCATGTCGATGACCACCGCACTGTTCTTTGGTAGCAACCTGTCACCCACCATGCTGGGGCTATCTTGCTGCAGTGTCTTGTTCACCTGTATTGAGCTGGGCATCAGGCCAGGCCTGGGGACCTCTGGCCGGCACTGGGGCAGCCAGAAGTTGGAGTCGTAAGCATCCATGACTTCAGGTGGCTGGTGGGTTGCTGGGCAAGGCTGACCTCTTTACTCTAGAGGACGGGCGTGTGGGGAGAAAAGGTTGAGCCTGGGCCACAGGTGGGCATAGGGCTAGACAGGGAGAGGGGGCCATTCTATGACATCAGCCTGCCTGTCGCCCCCTTCAGAAGACTTCACAATGCAGGCTGGGGGTGGGGCCCCTCCCTCCCCCAGAAAGCTCCCAGAGTACCCATTTATGCTGCATTTCCCACGACGGGCCAAATTTGGAAGAAGACGAGGATAGATCCCAGGGCAGCACCTCTGTCCTCCAGAACCCAGGAAGGCCCAGGAATCTTCTTGCTGTCTTGTTTTGAAGTTACTTAAAGTGTGGTACTGAGAGCTGGTCACTATTAAAATATTGATCCTTAGAATACTCAGAGGTGGCTGGCCACAGTGGCTTTCTGGTTTCCAAGAGGATACAGAAGCCAGCCAGGGGTAGGGGGCAAGGAGAGACACAAACACCCCTGCACTAGGTTCTTTGACTCCTCTGCCCTTCCAGCTGCCTGGAACTGCCTTCCTGCCCCATTCCTGCAGATCGGAAATTTACCTCTTTAAATTTGGTTGGGACAACTCCTCCTCCTGAAAGACTTCCCTGATTGCCCCTCCTGTGCTGAATGTGTCATGGTGATATCAAAGTGGGAAAGAATTTACTAATTGCGTGTATAGATTTATTACCTTGGCCAAAGAGTGAGGTTGAGTTTTTATTAAATTAATAAAATATTTGTTTGTGGTCTAATACATGTTTTTGGAAATGTTCATTTACTCAGCTACTTATTGAGTGTCCAAGCACTCCCCTATGTCCATTGACACAGAACCTTTTGTGAGTTTAAGATGTACAATGTATCGATTCGATACCATGTATGTTACAAAATGATAACACTATAGTTAGCTAACACCTCCATCGCCTCACATCATTACCATTTCTTTTCGTGGTGAGAACATTTAAGATCTTCTCTCAGCAACTTTGAAGTACATGATACAGTATCATTAACTAGAATCGCCATGCTGTACGTTAGATCCCCAGAAATTATTCATCTTATAACTGTAAGTTCGTGCCCTTTGACCAACATCTCCCATTTGCCCCCACCTCCCAGCCCTTGGTAACCACCACTCTCTTCTGTTTCTATGAGTTTGGCTTTTTTCGATTCCACACATTAGTGGGATCACACAGTATTCGTCTTTCCCTCTCTGATTTATTTCACTTACCATAACGCACTTAAAGTTCATCCATGCTGTGACATGTGTCAGAATTTTCTTCCTTTTTAAGGCTGATTAATATTCCAGTGTATGGATGGACCACATTGTGTTGATCCATTTATCTACCGATGGACACGTGGGTTGCTTCCACCTCTTGGCTATTGTGCATAACGCTGCTGTGAACATGAGTGTATTAATATCTCTTTGGAACCCTTTCAACGGTCTTGGGTATAAACCTAGAAGCAGAATTGCTAGATCATATGGTAATTATGTTTTTAATTTTTCGAGGGATCGTCATACTGTTTTCCATAACGGCAATGCCAGTTTACGTTCTTGCTAGCAATGTAGAGGACTCTCCTTTCTCCACATTTTCATCGACACTTGTTATTTTCTGTATTTTAAAAAACCTAGCCATCCCGATGAGAGCGAGGTTGTAACAGAACTTTAAGCAGCAGCACATTAGAAAGACATATTTGGCTCAGATGGACGATTCTACAAAGAACCGGACAGACTGTGTTCAGGGTCCAGCCTTTGGTGCCGATAACGATCCGACTGTGTGCAGAAGGCAGGTGTCTCCCACGGCTCCGTTTTGTGCAGAACACCTGCAGGATGAACCCTTGACCTCATGAGTGTTTTGGTGAATTTAGATTACAGCCACTCAAAACAATAATAAACATTTTTTCCCCTTTAAAGAATCATCATGGTGAGTCAAGGCAGCTTGGAATGCAGATTAAGTAAATTCTCACTGCAATTTAATGACAGAAATGGGTACCACGTCCTTTTTTTTTTTAATGGGGAAATAGAGGCTCAGAGAGGTGCAGTGGCTTGCTCAAAGTCACACAGCTGGGATGGAGGCAGAAGAAGGATATGAATCCAGGCCTCTGAGATATTTCAGTGACTGACCGTGGGCCTGAGAAAGTGTGAGGTCTAGATCCGTCGGAAACAGTGGGAATGGAGGCTGAGGCTCTCTGAGCCTCCGTTTCTCAATTGGCAAATCGTAAGTAATAATGGCACTGACTTCAAAGGGCAGCTGTGAGGATAGACGAGTTATTTGTGAAGTGTTTAGATCAGTGGATGGTACAGAGTAGGTTTTCTATGAGAGTTTGTTACCTAGCGTAGTCTTTGGTGTGTGTGTGAGAGAGAGAGCACGTGATAACTAGAAACATCCGAGCAATAGCTTTGAATTAGGGACTTAAATGGGCATTTCTCTTGAAAGGGCGCTTCTTGCAAAGACATCAATCAGACGTCAGGTATGCGCAGCCAACTCATCTGAAGCAATCCTATATCAGCACCTCTTTCCACCAGCATCTGAGGTCGCTTGGTGACGAGATGTACAGCCTCCCGCCAGCAGGGGGCATCCAAGACCATCAGTTTCTTTTCCTTCTTTCAGTAACTCCTTTGTTCTCTTGCTAAGGAGTTCACGACTTTGGTTGAAAAATAGTATCACCAGGGGAACTTAGAAAAACAATCTCCACATCCAGGCCACACCCATGACCGATTGAATTTGAATCTCTGCAGATGGAGGCCAAGCAGTGGTGATTTTCAAAGCCCCCAGGAGATCTCAATGTGCAGCAAATGGAGATCCAAGTCGTCAAAATACTCACATTCTTAATTCCCCCCATCATGAGAACGGACAGTGAAATGGTGGTTCTGAGGCATTTCTCGTAGACCAGCTAGTTCTCATGCCTGAATGTGTATGAGAACCTCCAGGAGGGTTCGTTAAAACACATCTTGCTTCAGCAGGTTCAGGGTAGAGCCCAAGAATCTGTGTTTCTCACAAGCCCCCAGATGACGCCGATGGTGTGGTCAGTGGACTCCACTTGGAGCAGCATTGTCTGTAGCCTTGCAGACATCCAAGAGATGAAAGGAAAAACCCAGGAAAGCTAAAACTACAGGACTGAATTATTTTGTTTCTAAATTAATTTTTTAATTTCAAAAATTTTAAATTACAAAATATTTCAGGCTTACACAAAATTCACACACACACACACATATACACACAAACACATACACACAGAGTCAAAGCATCAAAAATACAGAAAAAATTACAATAGCCAAGATATGGAAACTACCTAAGTGTCTTTCAGTAGATGAATCAGTAGAAATGATGTGTATAATACAGTGAACTACCATTCAGCGATGAAAAAAGAGATCGTCGCATTTGTAACAAGAATGAATCTTGGGGGTATTATGGTGAACTATGTCAGACTGTGTGAAGGCATTTATATGTAAAATCTTACAAAGCTGGGGAACAAATAGGAATGTTGTATTAATCATATCTTTTTATTCAGTAATTTTGATGCTCTAACATCTGGCTGACCTGGAAGAGGCTGTCCTTCCCAGAGTTTGCTAATTCCTAGAGACAGCGAACAACTCCCCTGGGAGGGATCCTTTCATGTGGGAACCAACCAATCCAGGGCTCCCATCCCCAGCCACCTCCGTTATGGAGCTCTCACACTCAGGGCCACTGTCCTTCTGCCCTGACCACCTCAGGGTCAGGTGCCAGACAACCAGGGCCAGCCCCTAAGCCCCAGAAATTATTTAACTAGTCAGTCCCAAGCCTGCTTACGTGCCTCACCCTTTTCCCCTGCGAAAACCATAATAAACATTCTTGCACAAATTTCCCAACCACTCGGTCGCTGGACCAACCCTGGTGCCTCCCCATGTGCCCACGGCGAGGCCCCTCCTCTTGGGAACTGTGAGAAACAAAGTATCTTTTCAATGGCAGTCATCTCTTGACCTGTTAGCCTCACCATTCCTGAATAAAATAAACTTTTATTTTAAAACAGACTCCTTCACTCATTCTTCTCACTTGGAACTCTCAATGGGGCTGGATTGTCCAGCATTTTTCAGTCATCCATGCCAACGCTCCCTCTGCCTCTCCAGTGGTTAATTAATAACTGAGCATAACTTATCGGCTATCGCTTAAGTGTTTGCTTTATTTGGAAAACCCTCGTTGGCTGCTTGTGATTTCTTGTCCTTAGGTTTTAATTTCTTTTTTTTTAAATACATATATTTTTCAATTACAGCTGCCATTACAATAGCTTGCTTTGCTTCTGCATCTTCTCTATAAATCCTCTCCAAGCTCTTGCTGGTGAAGAGGTCCTAGCCATTTCCAATTTGGCATTGACTGATACAAATAGATTTTTGCTCCAATACGTTCTTAACATTAAAAAAAAAAAAAACTGAACATAATTGTGTTCTCATGCTCTTCTGGGGCAATTTTTAGATGGAAGGCCTCTGATTCCCAGTACAGTTCATTTTCTCTTCCATGGAAGGGGAAGCCAGAAGAGATGTCTCACGTGACACTGTCCCTCCGGAACTTCCATCCCTTGACTATTGGGTCATCACTACTTGGGTGAAAAAGGTGTTGGGGGCTAAGCAGGGAGTGACCCATTCCAGGGAGGTGTTTTCAGGAGTCACTGTGGCGTGGGAGTGCGGAGGGGCATCTCTCCCTGGATCTGCTCACCGCCTGGCTGAGTGGACTCAGAGCAGGGTAGGGAAGAATCGGAGGGAGACCGTCTTTCACCTTTGATCTGTGAGGACGGGAAGCACTAGGCAGTGCTAGGGCCGGTTTTCCCAGCCTGCAGACCACACATCAAGATAGTTCACATCATCTTTTTTCTTTAAGTCCACAGCAGTGTGCATTTTGGGTGAGGCAGGCTCTCCAGACCCATCATCACACAGAGCTGTACGCAGGTGCTACTGGTATTGACAGCTGGATTTGGGCAGATGTGATGATGAGAGATGAGTCTTTCTCTTTTCTCTTT